CCCAAGACCTCCCTAGGTTTGGTAATTTACTGAGAAGGACTCACAGGACTCAGCAGACAGTCATTCTGGGAGCTTTGATTTATTACAGTGAAAAGACACAAAGCAAAATTTGAGAAGGGAAAAGGTGCATGTGTCAAAGTCTGGAGGAAGCCAGACACAAGCTACCAGAGTCATCTCCTGTGTAGTTACCAGGATGTACTTAATTCCGCCAGCCTCAGATTTTGAAAACACACGTACAATGTTGTCTACCTTACCAGAGTTTCTTTAGAGGCTCAGCACCCATGTTTTAGATGGAGGCTAGTCACATAGGCATCCTCTACTCTCCCTCACATGGACCAAAATGCCAGACTCCTAGGAGGAAATGAACTGTTCATAGCAAACCACATTTGCATTTGCACAAACAGTTTAGGCACGGTGAGCCATTCCCTTCTTCTAAGTTAGGGAATGGTGGGAGCCCTCCCAAATTCAAGGTCCCGAACACCAGCCAAGGACCAGCCTTGCAAGCAAGCTTTCTAAGGATGGCTGTCTCGCACCTGCTATATGAAATCTTTGCTGCCCAGCAGCTATGGCCCTGACTAAATTTTTGGTGTTATCATAAAATTTGATGTAATATGATAGCAAATAACAGAATGATAGACCATAACATGGTACTGGTTTCAGTTGCATCATTCATATTAAGTAGCAATGCTACTTAAGTTTTGACACTTGGTGAATACTTAACAGGTATTTGTACATAAGTTACTATGGCAATATTAACTAATTATAATCTGTCCTTATCTGATTAAACTTTCAGTAAAACTGTGGATAAAATGGGAATAATAAGTTCTGATTTAAAATTAGAGTAAAAGTTGTCTTTCATTTTATGTACATGGATGGACCAGTTTTGATTCATATTGTATTAAATCCCTGTTTATTATTATGAAATAATGATTAGATATTCAATCATTTTTATCAATTTTTTGCCTATGTATGCAGTTAAATTAATTGCTTTATGTGTTTTATATGCTTCAATTTGGGAGCTTATACTCATATTCTGTTACCTTGATCTTTAGTGATTCACAATTTTCACCTTGAAAATTGTCTTTTTATGATTTAGGGTAATAGCAAGTTCAGTATGTTTTTTAAAATTCATAACATTATTTTCCAAGCAGTTTTAGATTCACAGCAAAATTGGGAAGGTATAGAGATTTTCCATATTCCCCATGACCCCAGACATATGAGTAGCCTCCTCATTATCAGTACCCCCCGTCATAGTTCATCAGAGTTACAGTTGAGGAACCTACCTGGACAGACACATCACCCCCAAGGTCCACAGTTTATGTTAGCGTTCACTCTTGGCGTTGTAAATTCTCTGCTGTTGGACAAATGTGTAATTGCATGTATATATCCTTGTAGCATCATAGACAAAATAGTTTCCCAGCCCGAAATATCCTCCGTCCTCTGCCTTTTGATCTCTTTTTCTTCGCTGGCTTCTGGCAACCGTTGGTCTTTTTGGTGTCTCCATAGTTTTGCTTTTTCCAGACTTGTCATATAGTTGGAATGAAAGAGTGGATATCTTTTTGAACATTTAAAAAATAAAGTTCTATGGTAATTTCATTCTGTCATTTTAGATGTTCTTTGTCCTTGCCTTTGTTTTCCTCATGTCTTATTCATCAGCATAGGATCTGATGACATATGACTTGATGTGCTGAGAAAGCGTGATTTCTATAGACATTTGCCATGTAATGGGGAGAGAGGGGAAAAATGGCATCATGCAGTACTCCACAGCAGGAGACGGGTCCAGATAGACTCTAGCAATGGGACAGGATAATCTCAAGAGCTGGACTTTATAAAACTGGAATCACAAAGTCTCACATACTTACCTTGCATTTAAAAAGATCGGGCAGTGAATATGACAGGTGAAAATAAATATGTTCCTCACTGATTCTCTTCGTTTTAGGGATGAGTTTGAAAACAGTCTATATTATTATAACATGGCTCATCTACAGTTAGATTCCCTGTCATAGGAAATGCCAGTGTTTTGCTTTACAAGAACTGAAAAATAATTTTGTTTTCTCCAGCAAGAACAACAACTGTTGGCACATTCTGGTAGTGTGAGTGAGTTGATAGTTGTGTTCGTACATATTTTTCGTATCAGATCGCACTCCCTGGCAACCTGCCACCACTGTGGTAGTGTTTCTTCTTAAGCTTCTCTCTGAATGAGTGGTATAGCTCAGAATGAATAAGCTCTTTAAGGGAGTGATCTTTCCAGTGGTTCTTTCCATAGGAGGTAAAATGGGAGTGAATTTGAGCCTTGTTTGTGCCAGAGAAAAGAGCTAGAAGTAAGTAAACATAACCAGCATCTGCCCCAGAAGAGGATTAATGAGAGTGAATACATTGATGTCCCTTGAGCTCTTCTCCACTGGCAGTGAAAAGTCTTTGCAAAGATCCTTGTCCGTGGTCTGTTTCCTATGTTTTGCCATATGACACAGCACAGTACCCATAGACCTAGCTTCCTTGTGCTGGGGTGTTTTTTCCTAAACTGAACAATTTTAACTAAAGATCTGGAGTTAGGCTGTGACACAACAAAATGTACAGTTTCCCCACCGTATCCATGGGGGTTATGTTCCAAGACCCCCAGTGAATGCCTGGAACTGTGGATAGTATTGAACCCTAGATATGCAATGTCAGATTAGAAGGAAGAGGATAAGAGTAAAAGGGGGAATAAAGAACGAGGAATCAGAGAGTGTAGGGAGCAAATGAAGGGAAAAGAAGCAGGTGCATATGATGGAGGGTGGTACAATGAGATAATACCTCAGAAAAAGGAAGAGTGGGTATTAGGAAGGTGGAAAGAATGTAAGGTCAATGTGTAGCACCAAAACTTACCAGATAAGACAAACTTTACTTACCAACATGTGAGCTGTGCTTTAAGTTTAATCATTGCTTCATACTGTGGCTATACTGATGATTTTAAGCCAGTCAGATATTCTAGTTAGCAGACCCTGTGTGTGTGTGTGTGTGTGTGTGTGTGTGTGTGTGTGTGTGTGTTTTGAGGGGAGGGTATCTTTGATTATCAAGAATGAGGAAAGTAATCACTCTTTAATGAGCATGTGATGGACATAGTCTTTTAAAACACTGGTTCTGAAACTTTCTGAAGTTTCTTTTACATGATTAAATATTATTGCCTAAAGATAACTGACACCCCGAATTATTATTTCCATTCTCTTTTAAAACATTTTATTACATATGTGTATGGTCATAAATAAAATGTAGAATTTGTTTTTATGTCCTAAAAGTGTATATAAATTGTTGTACACTCTACATATTTTGCAACTTTCTTTTGTCTGGTCACATTACATTATTGAGGTCAGTCCTTATTGACCCAGGAAGTTCTGGTTTTCTATCAAATTACTGGATCTCAGTTAAGCCCTCTTCATAATGATAGATAAATAAAATGATTGCAGATTCCAAAGAGCTTTTTAGTTGGTTGTATCTATTGATATTTGCTATTTTAGAAATAAAAACTAAAATATTTAAAAAACAAGCATGCACAACCATACATTCCAATAGACATTAGAACTATGCTGTTATGACACATCATGTCTATGTAAAGCTCCACTGTACATTTGAAAGAGAATGAGAGTGAAAATGGCAAATAACATTTTGTGTTATTTGACCTCTTAGACCCCCGCCTGGATCTTGAACTCCAGGGATTCTCAGATTGCAATTTAGAGCCAACATTTTAAACCACATACATATGTGGTTTGAATATGGTTGTGGATAAATGGGCCCTTGATGATGAAATGGCTTTTAAAGTTTCACTTCTGTGTTTTTTTTTTTTTGCTTTTTTTCTTTAACTTGTCTTAAGAAATTTAAATCCCAACAATTTTGTTTAGATAGAAAAAACATATGAAAAAAGCTCATCATCACTGGTCATTAGAGAAATGCAAATCAAAACCACATTAAGATACCATCTCATGCCAGTTAGAATGGCGATCATTAAGAAATCAGGAGACAACAGATGTTGGAAAGGATGTGGAGAAATGAGAACACTTTTACACTGCTGGTGGGAATGTAAATTAGTTCAACCATTGTGGAAGACAGTGTAGTGATTCTTCAAGGATCTAGACCTAGGAATACCATTTGACTCAGCAATCCCGTAACTGGGTATATACCCAAAGGATTATAAAACATTCAGTTATAAAGACACATGCACATGTATGTTTATTGCAGCACAGTTCACAATAGCAAAGACTTGGAACCAACCCCAATGCCCGTTAATGATAGACTAGATAAAGAAAATGTGGCACATATATGCCATGGAATACTATACATCCATAAAAAAGGATGAGTACATGTCCTTCGCAGGGACGTGAATGAAGCTGGAAACTGTCATCCTCAGCAAACTGACACAAGAACAGGAAACCAAACACCTCATGTTCTCACTCGTAAGTGGGTGTTGAACAGTGAGAGCTCATGGACACAGGGAGGGGAACATCACACACCAGGGCCTGTTGGGAGGTGAGGAGGGTGGGGAAGGATAGCAGGGGGTGGGAGGATAGGGGAGGAATAACATTAGGAGAAATACCTAATGTAGATGACAGGGGGATGGACACAGCAAACCACCATGGCACGTGTATACCTGTGTAGCAATAACAAACCTGCACGATCTGCACATGTAGCCCAGAACGTAAAATATAACAATTTTTAAAAAGTTGTTGTTTCCATACAAGAAAAAAGGAAAATATTTTTGTTATATATTCCTTTCCTGTCTCATGGTACTGCATGCTCTTTGGATCTAATGTGGTCCTAGACTAATCCTGTTTTTATATGGGAACAGTTAGGTCCCTTAAGGCTCTCATTTTGCATAGAAATGTATGAAGTATAACCAAGTATTTGAAAGTAAATGCTGAAGATAGTGGTACATTCGGGAAAGACTATGTTATTATAATTAAAATAGTTTTTAAAGTATATTTATTATGACTTTTTGTAAATCCTGTGAGTCTGTTTTTTATTAATAGAACAAGAAAAGATGAACATTGGAGTTGAACTTCTCTCAGGGAATGATACTCTCCATGACGTGTGCCAGTCACAGCTGCCAGAAAACAAAGGGAGCAAAGAAGGTAACAAAGAACCTAGAATACATACACACGATGCCTTCATGTATATTTGAGTTTAAAATGGTTAGACATAAATTCTGTTTATAAAAAATTTATATCCATGAAGAATCTTAATGGAAAGCAAAATATGTAATAGAGACTGTTGGGTGAATCAAAGTAAGTAATAGTAAACGTAAAAACATAGAAAAGTGGGGTCGGCGCGCCCTGTCTGCCGGCCGTGCGGCTGCTGTTCCTCCTGCTGTGGGACCGCTGAGTGCAAGGCTACTTCACTTTCCGCTCCACGTACGGGCCTGGGCACCCACCGCCAGCATGGACGCTCATGGCGTCCTGCAGAAGGATCTCAGAGTAAAGAACTTAAAGAAATTCAGATAATGTGAAGTTAATTTCCATGGAAACCTCATCATCCTCTGATGACGGTTGTGACAGCTTTGCTTCTGATAATTTTGCAAACACGAGGCTGCAGTCAGTTCGGGAAGGCTGTAGGACCCGCAGCCAGTGCAGGCACTCTGGACCTCTCAGGGTGGCGATGGAGTGTCCAGCTCGAAGTACCAGAGGAGCAACCAACAAAAAAGCAGAGCTCCCACAGTCCTCCGAGAATTCTGTGACTGATTCCAACTCCGATTCAGAAGATAAAAGTGGGATGAATTTTTTGGAGAAAGGGGCTTTAAATATAAAGCGAAACAAAGCAATGCTTGCAAAACTCATGTCTGAATTAGAAAGCTTCCCTGGCCCGTTCCCTGGAAGACATTCCCTCCCAGGCTCCAACTCACAATCCAGGAGACCTCGAAGGCGTAGATTCCCAGGTGTTGCATCCAGGAGGAACCCTGAACGGAGAGCTCATCCTCTTACCAGGTCAAGGTCCCGGATCATCGGGTCCGTTGACACCCTACCCATGGAGGAGGAAGAGGATAAGTACATGTTGGTGAGAAAGAGGAAGACCATGGACAGCTACATGAACGAAGATGACATGCCCAGAAGTCGTCGCTCCAGGTCATCCCTGACCCTTCCACATGTAATTCGCCCAGTGGAAGAAATTAGAGGAAGATTTGGAGAACATCTGCAGCAACTCTGGAGAGAAGATATATGACCGTTCACTGGGCTCCACTTGTCATCAACACCGTCAGAAGACTTGATACCAGAAGAAACTGCAGAAACCCAGACTGCTGTGGCATTTGAGGACAGTTCTGTGGCCCCTGCCATCGAAACTGTTTTGGTGAAGAGGTCAGGAATGCTCTGCTGGATCCGAACTGGCATTGCCCACCTTGTCGAGGAGTCTGCAACTGCAGTTTCTGCCGGCAGTGAGAAGGATGGCGTGCAACTGGGGTCCTTGTGTATTTAGCCAAATATCATGGCTTTGGGAATGTGCATGCCTACTTGAAAAGTCTGAAACAGGAATTTGAAATGCAAGCATAATATCTGGAAAACTCACGGCCTGCCTTCTGCTTCTTAAATCTTTCTTGTTAAAGTTTCCAATTTTTTCACTGAAACCTGAGTCAAGGGTCTTGATGATCAGCCTGTTTTATAAGAAACTCCAATCAAGGTAATCTCAGTCGACTTGTTTCTGGAGCATCACGGGGAAGGTATATTACTAGTTACACTTTGCCTTCCTGCAGTTTCTTCTCTGCTCCCAACCCCCACCTCATAGCATCGCCCTCCATTTCCAGTGGTCCTCTCTAGCCTCTTAGTTTTATAATTTCCTTTATAGTTTTATGAAAGCGTATTTTATTTACTTGGTGTTGAAATAGCCCTCATAAAAGCTAAGCATTTAGAAACACAGTAATAGAATTAACTAACTAGAGAATTTCAGAGAACAGCCTTCTAACTTGTTTACATAAAAACAAGTATGATATAGCATTCATACTAGTTGAAATTTTTAATAGAATCAAGGCACAGAAGTCTTAAAACCATGTGGAGAAATTAGGTGATTACTGCAGATTGGAGTACATTACTTCAGATGCCTCTCAAACCCATGTATTGTGCTTATGTTACAAGTTGTTGCCACAGTTGAGACTTAATTTCTGGTGCCTGAAGGGTAAGTGGTGCGTCTAGCTTACCCAATCATGATTCAAAGGTTGGTGGGCAAGTAATACTTAAAATTGTGATAGAAAAGCTATCTAGAAATTACCAGTAGGCCGATTTGAATTTTCGGTATAAAACTTTAGTATGATTGTAGTTTGCCAAGTTTATTTCAGTTTACATGTAAGGTACTGCAAATAAATTCTTGGACAACTTTGCCTGGAAACTTGATATTAAAAACTGGTCTGTGGTTCTTTACAGTTTCTTGAAAATTTATAAACCTAGGCTCAGGGTTCAAGTTTAGATTTTAAGCACTTTTGTAAGAATGAGAAGTGCCTTTTTGGAGATGTAACTTTCAGTAGTTTGTTAACCTGACATCTCTGCCAGTCTAGTTTCTGGACAGGTTTCCCGTGTCGGTATTCCCCTGCCTCTTTGCATTAATCAGGTTATTTGGTAGAGGAGGAATCTAAGTGTTTGTGTGTCCAATTTACTTGCATGAGTAAACCATTGCTGACCCAATCAGTGTTTGATGCGTGATTGGACTTTGAATCCGTAAGTGTAAATACAGCTGTTGATCTGTAATGCTTTTATACAAAAGTGTTTATTTTAATAATAAAATGTTTGTCCTAACTTGTCTGCTTTAAAAAAAATATGTAGAAAAGTGAGAGATGGTAGTTAATTAAAGTTATCTCAATGAATTGCAAGCATAGAACATATAAAATATAATAAGCCCTGAATGCATAGTGTGTTTATGGGAGACATCAGGATGTGGGACTGTTTCTGTGGTCACGCCTATAATCCCAGCACTTTGGGAGACTGAGGCAGGTAGATTATGAGGTCAGGAGTTCAAGACCAGCCTGACCAACATGGTGAAACCCCGTCTATACTAAAAATACAAATATTACCCAGGAGTGGTGGCATGCACCTATGATCCCAGTTACTCAGGAGGCTGAGGCAGGAGAATTGCTTGAACCCAGGAGGCGGAGGTTGCAGTGAGCCAATATCGTGCCACTGCACTCTAGCCTGGGTGACAGAGTGAGACTCCGTCTTAAAATGAAACATAATTTAGAATCTATTTTTGTAAAGACTCTCTCTTTTATCTAACTTCTAAGTCGTTTAACTAAACATTTGGATTTTGCAGAAGAACAAGACTTGGAGCTGCCCTCGGAGGAAGAGGAAGGAAGACTTAAAGGATGTGAAAATAAGCAGCCACAGGTGTGTAAACATTTAAATTAAATCTAAATTTCTGGTTTAATACTGTTTGCTTTGCTTTAGTAATTTAAGATAGCCCAAATCTTTTTTGGCTTTGTTCCAGTTATCAATAGATAGTGGGCTAAAGTAGATTCTTATACTATATATCCTCCAGCCACAAACTTTTATGGCTGTTGAATGTGAAATTCGGGAAGCATCTCATTTCCGTAATTCCACACTAGCAGCTTAGCAGTTTCACTCTGCTTTTTGTGTTGAGGCAGACTTGTATTTCAGTGAGCTTTGACATCCCAGGATTCAAATGAAAAAAAAATGACAAAAGTTAATGGGGGAAAAGAATAGCTTAGTGCAGAAAAGAGAAGCTTCCTTTCTGTTCCTGAAGCCCTACAGTGTCACATCCTCTCAGTCTGGCTGCTAATGTTGAAGCCAAGTGGTAAAGACAGAAGAAGACATGCTTTGTGTCTTTGTCTTCTTATTTATGTCTTTGTGCCAGTCAAATGAGGTAAAAATTCATAATACATGGTGAAGGGTGGTTGGGAATAAAAGCACAAAATTAAGAAGGGCACTTGTTGAAATTTTGGAAAATTCTGTCTCATTGATTGAAACAGAAATAAAGCTGACTTTACAAAACTGTTGATGATACAATTATAATAATTATAATTCTATTATAGTTTTAGATATGATAAAATTAAAGTAACCACAAAGTATTTTAATGACTAAAATTATGATAAGTAAACTGAGTGAAGTGATGAAATCAATGAAAACAGAACAAAATTCTTTGTATTGAATAAAGTAATAACAATCATCCTTAACATCAAACTCTCACTCAAGGTCGAAGAAGAAATGAAGCAGCACACGAGTAATAACGTGGAATTATCCGGAAGCCTACCTGGTGGTGCCGCTGCTGGCAGTGATGATGATGGACTTAATCAGCCGTTTCCTAGGAAGGAGAATGAAGTGCATGACAGGTACAGCAACACTTAACAGGAGACAACTGGATGGGTGTGGTAGCTCAGGCCTGGAATCCCAGCATTTTAGGAGGCTGAGGTGGGCGAATCACCTGAGGTTGGGAGTTTGAGACCAGCCTGACCAACACAGAGAAACCCCATCTCTAATAAAAATACAAAATTAGCTGAGTGTGGTGGTGCGTACCTGTAGTCCCAGCTACTCGGGAGGCTGAGGCAGGAGCATCACTCGAACCCAGAAGGTGGAGGTTGCAGTGAGCCAAGATTGCGCCATTGCACTCCAGCCTGGGCAACAAAAGCAAAACTCCATAAAAAAAAAGAGAGAGACAATTATGTGCTAGGAAATGAATTCTAATTTTGGCTAATATTCATGATGAACAAATTTTATGCTTTTACTAGGATATTAGCCTTTTTTGGTTATCAGAAAAATGCAAATTAACAATGAGATGCCAGTTTTCCAATCATATTTTTTATTTAAAAAAAAATAGGAAGCATTGGGAAATATGAGGAAAAAGGCATTTTCATACAGTTGTTAAATGAAATTGGGAACTCCTTTTGCAGGGTAGTTCAGTAGCGTGCATCAGAATTCCAAACACGTCACTCCTTTAATGGCTTCTCCTTTGGGATGAGAGCCCAGAGGAAAATATTACTTGTGTAAACACATACACATATGCGTTAAGGACATTTATTACATGAAGTATATAATATACAGCAGGTGAATGGGTAAATATATAGTAAGTATGACATATGTACATTAAGGTTATTTATATGTGTTACATATGTACTTATGTATAAAGATATTTATTATAGCATTGTAATATCAAAAAGTTGGAGATAGGCTAAATCCTTAGCAATAAGGAAATAGTACAATTGTCATACCTAGAAAATCATGTAGTATGCAGTTATTTTAATAAACGAGGGTGTTAGATCTAGAGTGTCCTGATTATTTCACAAAGTGTGCATTTAGTTTGGTGACACATCTTTTTTTTTTTTCCTTATTTTTTTATTGCATTTTAGGTTTTGGGGTACATGTGCAGAGCATGCAATACAGTTGCATAGGTACACACATGGCAGTGTGTTCTGTTTGCTTTCACCCCTTCACCCACATTTGGTGTTTCTCCCCAGGCTATCCCTCCCCACCTCCCCCTCCCACTGGCCCTCCCCTTTTCCCCCCAATAGACCCCAGTGTTTAGTACTCCCCTCTCTGTGTCCATGTGTTCTCATTTTTCATCACCCGTCTATGAGTGAGAATATGCGGTGTTTCATTTTCTGTTCTTGTGTCAGTTTGCTGAGAATGATGTTCTCCAGATTCATCCATGTCCCTACAAACAACACGAACTCATCATTTCTGATTGCTGCATAATATTCCATGGTGTATATGTGCCACATTTTCCCAATCCAGTCTATTATCAATGGGCATTTGGGTTGGTTCCAGGTCTTTGCTATTGTAAACAGTGCTGCAATGAACATTCGTGTGCATGTGTCCTTATAGTAGAATGATTTATAGTCCTTTGGGTATATACCCAGTAATGGGATTGCTGGGTCAAATGGAATTTCTATTTCTAAGGCCTTGAGGAATCGCCACACTGTCTTCCACAATGGTTGGACTAATTTACACTCCCACCAACAGTGTGAAACTGTTCCTTTTTCTCCACATCCTCTCCAGCATCTGTTGTCTCCAGATTTTTTAATGATCGCCATTCTAACTGGCGTGAGATGGTATCTCAATGTGGTTTTGATTTGCATCTCTCTGATGACCAGTGACGATGAGCATTTTTTCATATGATTGTTGGCCTCATATATGTCTTCTTTCGTAAAGTGTCGGTTCATATCCTTTGCCCACTTTTGAATGGGCTTGTTTGTTTTTTTCTTGTAAATCTGTTTGAGTTCTTTGTAAATTCTGGATATCAGCCCTTTGTCAGATGGGTAAACTGCAAAAATTTTTTCCCATTCTGTTGGTTGCCAATTCACTCTAGTGACTGTTTCTTTTGCCGTGCAGAAGCTGTGGAGTTTGATTATGTCCCATTTGTCTATTTTGGCTTTTGTTGCCAATGCTTTTGGTGTTTTGTTCATGAAGTCCTTGCCTACTCCTATGTCCTGAATGGTTTTGCCTAGATTTCCTTCTAGGGTTTTTATTGTGCCAGGTCTTATGTTTAAGTCTTTAATCCATCTGGAGTTAATTTTAGTGTAAGGTGTCAGGAAGGGGTCCAGTTTCTGCTTTCTGCACATGGCTAGCCAGTTTTCCCAACACCATTTGTTAAATAGGGAATCCTTTCCCCATTGCTTGTTTTTGTCAGGTTTATCAAAGATTGTATAGTTGTAGATATGTTGTGTTTCCACCGGTGCCTCTGTTTTGTTCCATTGGTCTATATCTCTGTTTTGGTACCAGTACCATGCTGTTTTGATTACTGTAGCCTTGTAGTATAGTTTGAAATCCGGTAGCGTGATGCCCCCCGCTGTGTTCTTTTTGCTTAGAATTGATTTGGCTATGCGGGCTCTCTTTTGGTTCCATATGAAGTTCATGGTGGTTTTTTCCAGTTCTGTGAAGAAAGTCAATGGTAGCTTGATGGGGATAGCATTGATTCTGTAAATTACTTTGGGCAGTATAGCCATTTTCACGATATTAATTCTTCCTAACCATGAACATGGAATGTTTCTCTATATGTTTGTGTCCTCTCTGATTTTGTTGAGCAGTGGCTTGTAGTTCTCCTTGAAGAGGTCTCTTATGTTCCTTGTGAGTTGTATTCCAAGGTATTTTATTCTTTTTGTAGCAATTGTGAATGGCAGTTCGTTCTTGATTTGGCTTTCTTTAAGTCTGTTATTGGTGTAGACGAATGCATGTGATTTTTGCACATTGATTTTATATCCTGAGACTTTGCTGAAGTTGCTTATCAGTTTCAGGAGTTTTTGGGCTGAGGCGATGGGGTCTTCTAGGTATACTATCATGTCGTCTGCAAATAGAGACAATTTGGCTTCCACCTTTCCTATTTGAATACCCTTTATTTCTTTTTCTTGCCTGATTGCTCTGGCTAGAACTTCCAGTACTATATTGAATAGGAGTGGTGAGAGAGGGCATCCTTGTCTAGTGCCGGATTTCAAAGGGAATGCTTCCAGTTTTTGCCCATTCAGTATGATATTGGCTGTTGGTTTGTCATAAATAGCTTTTATTACTTTGAGATACGTTCCATCGATACCGAGTTTATTGAGGGTTTTTAGCATAAAGGGCTGTTGTATTTTCTCAAATGCCTTCTCTGCGTCAATTGAGATAATCATGTGGTTTTTGTTTTTGGTTCTGTTTATGTGGTGAATTACGTTTATAGACTTGCGTATGTTGAATGGTGACACATCTTAAGCCAGTTTTGCTGAAATTCTCATAATATCTGCTCAGTTACAAAAGGAAGCTAGCTACATGCTACACTGACACTGTACCTTGTTAGCAACAGAACTGCTAGTTATTAAATTTTTGGTTTTTGTTCTCAGTGTGTGAGTGCTAAAATACCAGACCCTCAAATTAATCTGTATATTGCCAAGGGATTGCACAAAGGGATTCATATTCCACATAAGCGTTTCAGTATATCGGGTAAAACTTGCTAAAATACATCAGAGGATCTTAGATGTACTGAACCAAGAGTTAGGCAGCCCTTTTGGTAAAGAGCCAGTTAGTAAATATTGCAGGCTTTGTGGATTATAAAGTGAGTAAGTGCGGCTGTAAAGTTTCAAGGAAATTTCCTCGTGAAAACGGGCAGTGGTCTGGATTTGGCCCACAAGCGCCAATTTGCTGGCCCTTGTGCTAAAACCAAGGTGCTCTTATGCAGTGAGTCCTCTTTTTTTCTTTCTTTTTTTTTTTTTTGAGACGGAGTTTTTCGCTCTTGTTACCCAGACTGGAGTGCAGTGTTGCGATCTCGGCTCACCGCAACCTCAGTCTCCTGGGTTCAGGCAATTCTCCTGCCTCAGCCTCCCGAGTAGCTGGGACTACAGGTGTGCACCACCATGCCCAGCTAAGTTTTGTATTTTCAGTAGAGACGGGATTTCACCTTGTTGACCAGGATGGTCTGGATCTCTTGATCTCGTGATCTACCCACCTCAGCCTCCCAAAGTGCTGGGATTATAGGAATGAGCCACCGCACCCGGCCAGTGAATCCTCTTTTTAAAGGTGCCCTACATGCATGCCATTATCCTTCCTTTTAAAAGATAATATATTTCAGTAGGCAGCACACCGTATTTTTCAACAGTGGCTTCATATAATTTCAACAAATTTGGTTTACAAAATAAGATTGTTTTCTGCATTTGTCCCCTTTTATTCCTGTTAATAGAATTCCATATTTTGACTATTGTTTTTGTATATTTGATGAGTATAACAACTTCTAGAGTTGGATGATTTTTATCAAGCAAGGAATACTTCTTCTGAAACTTTTAGTCTTCCTTGATCTTTATGTATAAGCATGAGCACAATGATAATCAGCAGATATAATCTAGAAAAGTTCAATCTTTTGGTTCTAAACTTCATGAATTTTTTATTCAATACCTTGATCTGGCATTGCAAAAATACCATATAGACATAATTTTAAAAACTTTTAAAGGGTAAAAATATACTATATAGTAATATAAGAATTGAAAAGTACAGCTAAACAAGAAGAAAATCGGGTCATCTGCATCATGTCCCTAGGTATGTTGGCCTTGAAAGAATGGTTTATACTCATGGATTCAGATTTCCTGTCCATTCACTCTTGAGCTGACACCAGTCATTTTCACTCCCACCACTCTTCCAAGATTGTTGTTCTCAAGTTTACCACTGATTTTCACTTCAGCAAATCTAGACATTGTTTCTTAGACCTCATTTTATTTAACCTGTCAGCAATATCGGACCCGATGGAAACCTCTCTCTCCTCCATAGCAGTGTCTTCACTTGGCTTGCAGGATCTTCCTCACTGACCTGGCTTTTCTTCCTGCCTTTCTAGTCTATCTGTCATAATCTATTTTGGTTTCTTCTCATATCCCACATT